TTTCTTTGAAAGCAGAGATCGTCCAGAGAAATGGCGCCTTTGGCCTCTCTTTAAAACACTGTTACCCACTACATTAGTGTGAGCTTTCTTTTCAGTGCGGGTGCTTTCTCTCGTGCTTTGATGATGTCAGGGAACAGCCTGTACCCCTGATGGAAAAACTCATCTGAATATTTTGGACTTGCTGGATCCCCTTCCCTTTTCCCTCTTCATCCACGAGTGATCCTCATTTCTGAAAATCAGTGTTTGTTTTTTTTTTTTTTCTTTCTACAAGTGTACCTGTGACGAGGGGAATCATAGGGAGGAGAGCAGGTGTTGGATGTGATTGGGAGTCCCGAGGCATCGGTTGGGTTTTGTTCTGAAAATCTTCAAATGTCTACTTTTGTAAAACACTGCTTCCCCAAATGGGTGTTGAATTTAAAGGACTGCATCCCTCTGGCCTTTGACAGAACCCAGGTTTGGTGACTGCACTCAGTAAATATCTCGGTGGACGCTATGTCTGCATCCAATCCTGTAGTCTTAAATATGTGCTGTTCTCTCAATGCAGGTCATCGGGACTCCCAGTGCGAATGAATGAATGAATGGGAGTGTGTGCGTGAGTGAATGAAGGGTGATGCAGAGTGTAAAGCTGAGGAATGACTTTACATGTGTGGGCAAAGGAAGGTTTAAATTAAAGTTGCCACTGTATAGAAATCAAGTCATGATCTCATTCTGTATCTGTTCTTTGTTTTTGACTTGAAAAAACCGAATAAAAGTTTTACTATAAAATTGTTTTGTCTTTTTTAAATCAGCATCTACGTTTAGTAATTATGGTGATTTTTATTACAGGCACTTATAAATCTGATAGCAGCATTCAGTTTACCTGCTAATAAAATGTAAATTGAATAGAGAAACTTAAAATGCATCTGGAAAGTATTCTCAGCCATTTGTGCCATATTTTGTCATTTCAGTCTTACTCCAAAATGGATTAAATTCACTTTTCATCTCAAAATTCTGCACACAATAAGTCCAGTGAATTGTCTGCTGATCTCTATGACAGGATTGTATCAAGGCGTGGAGGTCCCAGTGAACTCAGCAGCTTCATCTCTAAATAGAAGAAGTTTGTAAACCAGCAGGACTCTTACTAGAGCTCTCCGCCTGACCAGTCAGGGAGGTGAACAAGAACCTGATGGTCACTCTAACAGAGCTCTGACGTTGCTCTGTGGAGAGAGGAGAGCTTTCCAGGAGGACGATCATTTCTGCAGGATTCCACCAATCAAAACTGATCGAATGAGCAGACTGGAGCCACTCAGTATCAGAAGCCTGGAAAAATGGCAGTTTTGTCCAGGATTACTTAGTTTTAAGTTACACGTGAATTAACAACAAGTAAAGCTCTCTCTGCTCTCATATTAAACAGCTTCTGTCAGGAAGGTTCTCCCTCTTTGCAGCCAACCTTTACGTCACTGCCATCTTGTGGCCGCAAGATAGCAGTGACTTATTTGCAGAGTCTTTAAAAGGAAGCCTTTGAGTCAGTGATTTGGAATCATGTTTGACAAACTTTCATTAGGAAAGTCCAGATTTTCACTTGATTCCCATTTTCCTCATGTTGGAGACTCACTCTGAAAGCATGTTTGATTTACATCATCATGTTGGGACTTTTTCTTCATCAACTTATTTAGATAGAACTATAAATCCCTCGGGTGGGTTCCTCTGGAAAATTCATAAATTTATCTCTTATGGATCTACAAATTAGAGAGGCTGATGCTGTCAGAGGTGTAAACTCCCACCAGTTCACTGGATGGGCTTTTTGTCAGGTGACACTGCAGAGAAGCAGCTCTGAACAAACCATTAAAGACGGTCAAAAGCTCATCTTAAAAATGAAGCCGTGACAGATGAATACAGATCTGAGGTATGAGGTCCTTTTAATGTGTTTCTGTTTGAAGCTCATTGATTGCTTTGTGCTTATTCTCCTGTGTATTCGTCACTGTGAGATCCTTTCAGTGTTTGCTCCTGCTTTGAGCTGATTTCAAACATCATGTTGATGTTTGTGTTCACCTCCTGTACATCTGTGGTTTCATGTCTGTGGCTGCACTGTTTTTGACTTTCTACCACAGTCACGTCAGCACTGACATGCTTGAAGTCGAGGAAGACGGTGTCCAGCAGGAGGCTGAGTGGATCTCAAAGTCTTTGCCCCCCTGCAAAAACCTCCTCTCCCAGTGGGAGCTGGAGTGCTTTGGGTAAGAGTCGTGAACATATGTTCAGTATGCAGCCAGTATTCAGGTAAAGTCAGTGACTTGAAGAGCAACAGAAACATGTACAAGGAGGAGAAAATCTTCTGACTTCCTCATCTTTGTGCTTGTGTTTGAGATTGCCTAACCTGAAGCAGACGTGCTACATGAACCCCACTCTACAAGCATGATTGCTCTTTCCTTTATCCACCAAGTTTGCAAATCATTACCAGGAAATATAAACTAACCTTCTCTCTTCTTCACCAAGTTCCTCCGCTGAGTTCTCCGCTCGAGTGTGAGTCCTCTGAGCTATAGGCAGATGTAGCTGTCGCCAACGAGTCTTACCTCTGCCCTGTTAGACTTCACATTAACCTCAAGATGTTGAGCTGCAAAAAGTAGGAACATGGTAAACTTTGAATGTTTTAATGTTGCTGTTGATATTTCTTAATCACCGTGAGTCTGTAATGTTTGAAATTATGGGATTCTGCAGATGTGGTGTGCAGTTCTTTAGGTGGGAGGACTACCTTCTTACTTTCAGGTATGTGTGCAGGCACTGCTTTGACTTTCGGAGTCAAAAAAAGTCAAACTGCAGATGGTTATTTACTGGACTTTTAGAATTAGTGAGACTGTAAATTATGTCATCACCTGCACTAATTGGCGGTCACTAATCCTGGCATGAGTAAACAAATTAAAGTCCTCAAACTAATTGAGAGAAAAACTGACTGTTTTTTTCTTATTTAGTCCAACAGCTCCTCAAGTACTGAAGCATAGTGTAGCTTTCATCTGGCTGAGCCTTTTCTTCTTACATTTATAACATTTACACACTGTGCCTGAGAGAAAACACACTCGACTGACTGCAATAACATTCAAACGCCACTAGATGTCCCCCTAATGCCTCTTATCATCCAGCCTCTGTGTTGGTCTTCCATTTCCGCCTGTTTTCAGTGTGGTTGTAGCCCATGGGGCTTGGCCTTTAATATGGAGATGGTACTAGGGCTTGCTCCAAATATAGCTTCAGCCAGGTTTTGCAGAGAAGATTTGGTAAGTTTTTCATGGGCGCAAACATCGCACTCAACTCTGCTGCTCAACCAACAAATGGGTTGAGCAGCAGCATCATTTGAGTGAAAAGGCAGGGCTCTAGAGTGTAACCAATTTCTCAACGGTGCAAAAAATAAATAAATAAATAAATAAATTAACAAATTTAAAAAAAAAAGTCTCCGCAACTCCTCTTCATGTGATCAACAACAACAAACACACATTATGCCCATATCATGGTCTAAACCAATTAGAAATAGTCAGGGGCGGGACTTCTCTGATTGGCCGTGGTCCAGATATTTCTGTAGTTCTTCTTGTCTACATTTGAAAGTGCGGCGGATAGAGGAAGGTGAGTAGCGTGAGTAACGCAATATCGATTCATTAAATCCTGAATCGACTTTTAAGTATAAACGTATTTTTGACAGAAACGCCAGAATCTCGGGTTAAAGCTCACAAAACTATTTCAACAACCACCAAACAGCTAAAACGGTAATGTACACGGACGGCGTCGGGGCTGAAAGTCGAAAGTTCACGATCCTGATGCGGGTCCGCTCTTCGTGTTTACGTCACTTTTTTTGCGCTAGATTCTGATGCTGCAGGTTTTTTTTCACTCTCCAACCACAACTGACTGAACCAGCAGCAAAAAAAAGATCCAAATATGCTTCACATTTGATTAACATCGTCATTCCCTCTTACTTTTGCTGTTTTGCTTCCACCACCATAAAATAGCACATCTGGCACAGCTGCTCTCTCTCTCAGTATACTTCAAGAACAGTTTTCTGTCTCAAATCTCTGTTTTCTGCATTATTCATTTGCTTATTACGCACAAGTTATGTACAGTGCTGGCGGCTACTGTTTTTGTTTTTCAAAAATGACCTCCACAAGAAAGCGTAATTTCTGCTGTATAATAGCAAAGAAATTTCAACTTTTTAAATATTTTAATTTTTCTAAATTGAATTTTTTCTAAATTATACCAAATTATTGCTAAATGATCAGAATTATAATATTTCTGAGTGTCTGAGGCAAAATTGAATCAAATCGAATCGGGACTTCGTGAATCAGAATCAAATGGATTATAGAAATCAGTGATGCTACACAGCCCTAGTGAGTAGCCTAGGCCCGACAGAAGTGGATGTAGCTGTGGGTAATGAGAAAAGATGAAAAGAAGGATTGATAACTTTTTCGTTAAGGCCTGATCTGTCTGAAATTCATAGCCAGTGCTCTGACACAGAGCCATCAATCTCTGAACGCTGAAAAAGTATCCAGAAAGCACATTATATGCTGCGATAAATGCACTGCCCAAGTTTCCCCTCTCCCCACTGCCTTTAAGCAGCAGTCAGCAGCAAACAGGTCATCAGAGGAGGCCGATGTGATTATTAAGTTTAACATTGTCTACAATATTGCCAAAGAGTGACAAAGTGCCAAAGCACTTTAAGCACAAGCACTTTTTAAGTAACTTATCCTTCCTATAGAACTGTGCTCCAAATAAAGAACTTTGTTAGTTAATCATTTACAAATCAATAATGTCTGTATGGACAGCAACTTAAAAAAAAAAAAAGTGAACTTGATTAAGCAATGCGGTTGAAAAATTTGGGTGCACCTAGCCTTTGTTTTGTGCTGGTGCACTTAAGAAAAAAAGTTAGGCGCACCAATGCAATCGTGGCAAAAAGTTAGTCTAGAGCTCTAAAAGGGGAAGGTTGTTTTTTTCCAAGAAGCACTGTTACAATAAAGAAATAATCAACCATATTCAAATTTCCTTACTTTTATATTCAGTTTATATGTTACTGCAGATGAAGAATGTAAAGGTGAGAGTAAAAGTGTTCCTGTATAAGCAGAAGTTTTTCACAGCAAGTCAAATCTATTTCTGCTGAGAAAACATAAATGAGAGACGGTTTCAGAACATGAAGGGGAAACAGGAAGAAATGTCACTGAATTCTAAGATGAGACTCACATTTATATGCAGTGAGTTATCTCTAACTTCCCGATGTTCTGCTAGATTTCACTGAAGACATTGAAAGAAGAGGAACTCAAGGTATAGCATCGCTTTTATGAGAGTGTTTTTCATAAATTGTTGATGAGCAGCATTTCCAGGGTGTAAACCCACTTCCCTTTGGGGAAGGTTTTGTTTAAAGTTTAAAGCTTGGTCACCTGGTTAGATTTACTCTCTGCTGTTCTGTGATTCTTGAGTCTTGTGATTGTCGTGAACAAAGCTGAACTTCTGTGTCTTCTCCTTTTGAAGTTATCATTGGAGACGATGCTTGACACTGACACACCGACACACATCCACAGACTTAGACCTCAATTTGCGGTTGTAGGTAAGAACTGGTGCCACGCTGACCTCAGCAAGATCATCATCAGACAGATGACTTTAATATGTGTTCTGTTTTTGTGTCAGGATGTTTCCAGGTGATTTTGTTTTTCATACACATTGCTCAGCTCATCATGGGTAAGCACAGGTGCACTCACTGTTAGACAGATGTAGACATTTTCATAAATGTATACAGTTAGGTATTTTTCTGTGTCCTAAAAGGAGCATTGAACCTCCATGACTGTCCCAGGGAGCCCTTTATTCCCATCTACCTGCTGGTGATTGGAGTGGTGACCTTGCTGTTCTCCATCCTTCAGTGGCTCAAAGCCACATTCAACTGCTGGAGCGCCTGGAGCTGCCTCGTTTCACTCTTCGTCTTCTGCTGGTTCATTGCTGGTAACCTGAAAAAGGGAAGAAAGCAGTTTTATTTTTGTTTGTTTGCTTCCCAGAAAGCAAATGTAAGACTCAGCATGTAGGTAAAACCTTCAGACATTCTCACCCAATTACTTCCTGATCTTACTGCTCATATGTTACTTCCACTGGTTGCCTTGGTTACCTCCTCCAGACCACACTGTTTATGTGTGCTGCTGCATTGTTAAATAAACTAACACTGTCTGCACTTCAGTCAAATCTTGATTGTTTGATTTTAAATTCACTCTGCTGGTGAACAGAGGTAAATAAAATAACGTGGAACCCATTGATTTCATGTTTGAAAGTTCTTGGTATCGGCAGCACCAAAAAACCAATAAAGCATGTGAGAGAAACAGATATAGTAGGTGTACCATAATAACAAACATTTATCAGCACTATGTTAATGAATCACACAAGTGCACTAGAGAAAGAAAATAAATAATAGTCATGAAACTCTTCACTTCTATATTAAACATTTTATTTTTGCTCTGTCTTTCAGGAAACGTGTGGATCTACTCCGTCTATGAGCCCAACTACAATAAGACAGCGAGCCCGGATATGTACTGCAACAAAACACTCTACCTGTTTGCCTTCTGGACCATGAACCTGAACTACATCCTTTTAGGCTTCTTGCTCTTCTGTCCCTGTTGCTCGTGCTTTTTTGTTTTGCCTTTACCCTATGGTGAATAAACAAAAAGCAATGAATATTGTGGATGGTGGTGTATATTGAATAATGATTTAAAAGGTTATCTTATGTCATGTCGTAATATGGCACGTTCATCATTGGCTGATGTATTAACAGGTTCCTTTCATGTGAGAATACGAAAGTAAAGACATTTATGTCCTTGTCTGCTGTTGTATTATTTTAATGTTGCCTCTTGAGCTTCGCTAGTTTTGTGTTTCTTTAGTATAAAGTTGAATGTCTTTCATTATTCATATTGCTCCTCTGGCAGTTCTCATTCACTAACTTGTGCTGTGACCGTTAGTCGAAGTAGTTTGGACTTTCCAGCAGTAACGTTGTGACTTTAAGGATAAAGTCACACGCGGTCATGGTCAGAGTCGTTGCACATACAGGTGTCAGCACTGGTTTTTAAACAATGATATTTGGGTCTCTCAGCAGAACATTCAAAGGTAAACATCTGTAACTTGCTTTATCCAAGTCGGTCTGTAGAACATTTTTTATGAACGAGTGCATTTATATAATACTGTAATAATTCAAAGAAAAAAGTGATGTTATTTCTTCATTTTTTTGTGGTTCTCAGTCAAGGCCACACATCTATATTAGAGACTCGGGGGGGAGGAGACACGCAACCATGCGAGACAACATGACAAAGGATAAGAAGAGACTCTGACAAGAGATACATTCAAGATAACAAGAGAAGAGGAACCGGGTGGGAACACAGCTTAAACTGAACAGAAGATAGAGAACAACAATCACCAAAATAAAACAGGAAGAGAGACTAACAAGATTAACTTGAGACAAGTAAACAAGAGAACAAGATAGACAACAAAACAAATACAGAGACGAGACTGGAGGAACAGAATGATTAAGGAGAAAAGGAGAGTAACCAAATACTACATCATCAAGACAAAGAACTTAAGCATAGCATAATTAAGTCTTGGTCCGCAAAAAAACCAAACAGAGACTGCTGGGTGATAATAAGGACATCAAGGTAAACAGAAATAATATGGTTTATATTACAGAAGTAAAACTCAAATGATCCTCAAACCTCCAGAAAACACAAAACCCCGAGTCCAAGACCCAGGGACCAACGCATGTCTGTATATGAAGCGTGTCACAGAAGAGCCAGAGAGTAGGGGTGAGCTATTGTACAAACTGCTCTATCAGTAAGTTTGGCAGCTGTTAGTGTTGCATTTTGTTTTATGTTGAAAGGATTTGCTGTCACGTTCATCAAAAGGAGTTCAAAGCCACATCTTGGATCCTGACCTGACCGACACTCTCATATCTGCTAGTTGAATCCTTCTGTCGCTCTGCCTTTCAGCCTCAGATAATTTTATTTTGTGTCTCAGTAAATTATGTTTAGTTATTGAAATACAGTGAAATATATATTATTTACATGACAAATATCTTTGTTTGTTTTCATTAAGATCAAGGACTTAAATAGGGGAACCATTTCCTTTGAATCTTTAGAGTCAACAAAAGGAATTGGAACAAATGGTGTGTTTCTGTTACAGGCTGCTAGTAACAAATTGTGTCTAAAGACAGATTTTTGGAAATCTAAAAATCAAAACCTTAAATTAACACAGGACTAGAAGAAAACCTAAACATTTAAATTACATTAAAAATAAATAAGTGATAAATCACATCAACCCCCAAACTGAGGGTTCTTCCTTTATTCATGTTCCAGTTCTTCAAATGAGTTTTTTTAAATTTAGTTTCAAACTGTGCCATTCTCTCACTGGGTTCAGCAGTCAACCCCTATGTGAAAAGGCTACTGTGGGGTCTTGGGTGCGAGTCTGTACCGGGTGTTCACTACATGTCATTCCCCACATTTTCCTGCCTACTTTACTCACCTATCAAAACTACAGGCTAAAAAGCCAAAATAAAAAAACAAAACAAAAAAACAATCAAATCAGTAACCACAAAAACTCATCTTCCTCTCAGTGCCATGAGAGCAAATGTTAAAGTGAAAGACGCTGTAACAGGAAGCTTAGACAACAACACTTTCACACATACCCACAATAAATATTACCAAGTTCTCAGGAAATCATTCTTCTCTTTGCTTCACAGACGGCACACAGACAGGTAGGGCTTCAACAGACTACTTAATGCTATCACATAACACATTTAAGCTTGATTTGTATGTTAAGTAATACTTTCACACACTTCGCATTTTCTGATTTGCCATCCTTCTGACACTCTTATCTTTGATTTACCTGACATATAGAGACTACTTGAGAATGTCTCACAGCTTCCTTTGTGTCTCTGTAGGCTTCGCTCGTCATGATGCCAGAGAGTGATAGACCTCAACACACTTGCATACCTCAACCAATAAGTAAGAAAGTGATTTTGAACAGGTGTGCACACATCTGCTGCTGCTGCATGGTGTCATTTGTGAATGAAACCATATCGTATCTGCTGTCCGTCAGATTTGATCTCCATGATGTTCTTCATCATGTTTGTTGTTCAGGGGATAGTTGGTAAGTGAGAGAGGCACTATAATCAGACTGAATTTATTTACATTCATTTAATGTGTTGGAAATAAAATTTGAAAATTGAAATGACATGAAATATTGAACTGTGGAACAGCAACTTGA